GTAACTCGTACGCATTTAAAGTCATTCATGTTACTCAATTCAAAATTACATGTTACGTTCGCACACGCACAGAGTTCACAGTTTCTCTTGGAGTCCAGAACAGAATAATAACGTCGAACTAAATCTCAAATAAGAATAATAATAATAACGGAAACGCTATTGAATGGGTCCAGTCTTCTGTAGCGGCACAATGCTTCGTTACACATGAACAGTCCTGGAGAATAGGCTATATATCTCCTGTAGTAGGGCCTAATCTCAAACATCTTCACCTGCAGCTGCTTCATTACACACGAAAAATCCTGGAGAATGGGCTATGTATCCCCTGTAGTAATCTCAGGCATCCCCACCTGCAGTTGCTGCATGCCCGGACGCTGAACAATTAAAGCGATAATAAACCAAAAGTAAGATAACTCAAATAACTCAACAAAAAGTTACACGAAGGTGTCAGTCTTCTTATCCACGGCACATGATTTCATTACGCACGAACAGTCTGGGGGAATAGGAATTTTCCCACCTAGAGTGGCCAACTCTCAGGATTTTCCACCTGTAGTATCAGACTCTCAAGAATTTTCCACCTACATGTACACCTCCTCATGCACTGGGTCGTCAAGATCGGTAAGAAGTTCTCCATGCCCGGCTGCTGGTCAAATGAGCTAAAGACGCAAACAAAACCAAAGAAACTCAAAAATAACAAAACTAAAGAGTTTTCCCAGTTACGCTAACACATTACTGGAGTTGCAGCCCAGATGATCAGTGAAACTCACGTGTCCGCTCTTCCGCAAGTCAAGGCTCTATGACGTAACACAATGGCGGCTCCTATGTTCGGCTGTTTATCACCGAAGTGCGGTAATAGTATTTCAGGTAAAACAACGCTAACTAGAAATAAACTTCATCAAATTACAGAAAGGATCGGGGTGTGACTCGGTCACGTTACAGTAATATAAAAACCTCAAGTGTCAGTGAAAGGTATTTCGATTGCGCAACATTGTCTGCAGTGTGTCAACCCGCACGTAGACTTTCCATAACCTAGTTACTGATCAAGTCCAACTTCTTGAACAAACATCCACCCGAACATACAACAGCGGCGAAGTTACTGTCAACGGGGAGCATGGGCGCTGATGAGCTAGTATTTTTCGTTAATGGAAAGAAGGTATTTCAAGTTTAGGCCATAATGCACGTTCGCGTACTTGTTGTTACCTACTACTGATCTTTCGATTATGTAAGGATCATAACCGCATTCACCGGACAAAAACGGAATGCATAGGCCTATCTGAACTCATTTTACTTATTTTTCGTTAATGAAAAGAAGGTATTTCAAGTGAAATACACGTTCACGTACGTTGTAATCTATTATCTATTAGCTTATGTTAGGATTGTTTCATTAACTGATCATAACTGTATCCAGTGGACAAAAAACGGAATGCATTCTTGACAATATTTAACTTAGTTTTGGTTAAAAGTTAATATTTTCAGCAACGACTTCTGCACAGAATGACAATTTCTACAAAACGTTTTTTTTTTTTGCATAAGGGTGCAATATAGGCATTTACGTTGTATACGCACCAGTAACACTAGTTAAAGGAGCAGCATATCTGCAATCTAATTCAAATAATTAATTGTTCAGACTCCTAAATACGAGAGCTACCTGACTTGATAACAGATAAACTGATCATCTTAGGTTACTGTCAGGGTTAGACAAAAACACCGAAATTGCTGTCTTCACGTATATATTTTTAAGTATATAATTACCTCTATAGAAGATAATTCTTCAGTGTTCACTGACTACATTCTTTTGTTTTGTATGGGAGTGTCATATTTCCGATGATGTCACAATTGCGATTTTGGTGTAAAAAAAGTAAAATCGGTTTCTCAAATTTCTCCTTTACCAGAGCACTCAAGAACACTGTTTTAGCGCCAATTTAATGACATCATTGAATACTTCAGAACCCCACAAGTGATTTTTCTTAAAAACCTCAGAATTTACCGTGAATGAGGCACAATTATGTCTTTGTTAATGCATTGTAATTAAGAGCTCTTAAGTCCATGACAAAAACATTAAATTAAAGCCAAAATGACGTCTCGGGATTGACGCCCATACACTTGTGCTCGTCTATGCCAATTTTCGTGATAAGATCTTGTTCAGGGATACAGTTACGCCCCATATATGTACCGTTTGCTATCTCACCTAAAAATTGAAAGCAATTAAACTGGCGTAAACGCTCAGAGGTGCTTACCCAGACAGCCTCAGTGATCTGGCCCACGTCTGGCCCAGATCTGGCAACGTCTGGCAATGTCTGGCAAAAGGTATGGCCCACGTATGGCTTGCCACATGTGGGCCAGATGTGGCAATGTTTGGGCCATATCTGGCCCAGACATTGCCACATCTGGCCCAGTCCACATTTGCTCATGTGGCCAGATGTCGGCCCAGATCTGGCAATATCTGGCAAAGGTATGGCATGCCAGATGTGGACCAGATGTGGGCCAGATCATATTCAAATGGGCCAGATTAGGGCCAGACATGGACCACATATGGCCCAGATTGTTTTTTTTATTATTTCACATTTGCTCATGTGGCCAGATGTCGGCCCAGATCTGGCAATATCTGGCAAAGGTATGGCATGCCGGATGTGGACCAGAAGTGGGCCAGATGTGGGCCAGATTAGGGCCGGACATGGACCACATATGGCCCAGATTGTTTTTTTTTTCTTTTTTTAAAATTATTTTTAATTATTCAATTAAGATTACTATAAAAAAAGACATACAAGATTCAAGATTCAAGTATTTATTCTGTGCTAAAACCCTAAACAAAATTATTACACATTATATAACCTTGCTGGCAACTAACATGTAACAAATTAAGGGCCACTCCTTGTCTTTTTGTACAAAACAATGTATGTTTGAAAAAAAAAAAAAAACTACACTGCAAAAAGGCAAATATACAGACACTTAACAGGAGGAAATGTCACTTACATACATGTAAAGAAAACAGTTATAACAACAATTTTTTTTTCAACACAAAGCTGCTCATCGAATCTGAATTAACACAAATTACAAAAATTGTAATTAATTATGCATGTACATGGGGGGGGGGGGAGGGATTTGAGGGGGAAATATTTTTGCACACCTCAACCTAAATAATATTATACATTGTCATTTTTAAACTAATTCAAACATATCATTAATAATAATAATCACTAATGAATATAGTTTTGTAATGAATAAATCTTGAATAATGAATGAAAAAACATTCTTTTTTAGATGATGGAGAGTTATAACAAAATTATAAATAACCATGCAGTAACTGTTTCAATTCAACTTGCATGCTGGCTACAGTACTGTACATACATGTAAATTCTGAAAAAAAAAAATGTATACTCCAGCACAGATATAGATGTACAATTAAAAGAGAATTACATGTGCACAAAAACAAACCCCAGTATCAATGCTTTTGAATTAAATCACATCACGAATCAAATCACTCAATGAATTGAACCAGTTTGCAATGCTTGCGCTTTTTTCAAATCCATAACACTAAGAAATGATACATCCGGCTCCTTGACAAGCTTATAATTATTAAAGGAATCAGCAATGGAACAAGTAACTCTACCAAGTTAACAACAGTTCATTCAAATGTCAAGTCAAAACACAACATCCCTTCCTTTCTTGGAGAGAAACAGTCCATTCAAAACATGTTAATTGACAGTTCAGTCTTTAAAATGTCTTTTCAAACATTTGCAGAATAGCATATGAACTCCAACTTTTATTCCTTAAACCACACTGAAAATTCTCAAAACTAATCAACTCATATCAAATCCCATGTCCTTTCACTACTACTGGTCTCTTCCTTTGCTTGCCTTTACATCACATTCAAATGTTCCCTTCACTTTTAAAGGTTTCTCAGACGTGTATGAATAATACTGTTTGTTTTCTGGTACTCCACAAGAGCCACATTTATTTTTCTTGGATTTCAGCATTCCCCATGTATTTTCATCAATGATATTACAATATGCACCTGAATCTGGTAATACACTGAGATTAACACCTCCTCTATTTCCTCCATGTCTTCTGTGTATATTGCATTGGTTCCCACACCAAATGTATATTCACTCCTGGATTATCATGTTCAAAGCTGTCATTTACATGAATAATAGTTTCAGTTTTGCAGACTTTTGCAAAGTGATCCAACGTTCCATGTTTTCTCAGTCAGGAAGCTTCTACTTCGTTTTTCATGTCTAAACTCATAATGTTTAGACTGGCTTGGTTTGTCAAATGACTTCGGTTTCATCATACTCACAGTTTCTGGTGTTCCAATTTCATTCAAAGCGTTAACTGTCTTATGTATATTCATGTGTCTAACCTGTGTTTGGGAGAGTCCTGAAAATATCCCTGCTGAATACAACATAAGCGCGCGTCTCCTCTGTCATGTATTTTTAATTTTCTATCTTTGTTCATTATTCATGCCGTCCGTTGGTTTTGAAAAGATCAATCTTTTCCGTCAGAGAAGAGGTTAAAGCTGTCTAGCCATCGCGTCGAGCGTGACCCTAATGTCTCCCGACTTCTGTACGGTTCGAATTCCATAATTTCACATTTTCCTCCATTTTTTCAAAGAAAGTTGGCTCACAGTTTTGCACTAGTGTTAATCCTCGTCGCCAGTGTTGATGCCTTCGAAATAAATCGCATCACGAATCAAATCACTCAACAAATTGTATCAGTTTGATCACTTGTGCTTTTTTCATATCCATAACTCTAAGAAACGCTACATCCGGGTCCTTGACCGGCTTAGCATAAAAAGCGGAATCTCACAACAGCGGAACGAGTAGTTCAAAAAAGTTTTAGAACAGTGAATTCATTCAAATGTCAAGTCAAATTAAACAAATAGCACACTTATGAGGGGACTTTGAAGAAAAGAGAGAGAGATAAATTAAATCAAAATTTATCAAATGACGTCAGTTCAATGCATTCAGCTCACTGGTCAATAAAAAATNCAAAATGTGGAATAAATGCCAGACTTTGCCGGACTTGTCCCAGACCTGGCAAGGGTCTGGCAAAATCTGTCCCAGATATTGCCAGACGTTGCCAGATCTGGGCCAGACGTGGGCCAGATTACTGAGGCTGTCTGGGTACCTATTTCTGCTTATAAAATTGTCTCTTTTGTGATATGGGTATCAGTGTTTTGTGAGGGATTGGCCTCTAAGAATGTAGCTAATATGCCTAGATTGGCTATTCTCACCACTGACAATAAAAAAACATTGTTCAGACAATCGCAGTTTGCTGTAGTGGAATGATTAAAAGATGCAAAAAAATGAGGTTAGCAGCCTGTAAGACATAGAAGGTTGTAATTCTTTGTAGAGACTAAGACATTTATTGTTTTGTGAAACAGGTGCATAGGCTGTAAAACCATGCCAACTTACTGCCTTGTATAGTGAGAAATGATAAAGAAATGATCTTCCAATAATAGCAGTTCTTCAAGTTTAAAACAAATTTAAAATGTGATCAAATACATCATTATCCTTCTGCTTAATGTTTATACTCAATCAGTTAAAGGATAATATGTGACTGGGCATTTATGCACTACATTTAAACACATAATAAAAAATTCAAATTCCCCTTTGTCTCCAGGGTACTCAAATATATGATGCCAAGAGAGGATCATTTGTTGACCTGGGCATACTGGACGTGATGCAGATATTTGGGCGCGCTGGACGTCCCCAGTATGACAAGTCTGGCCATGGAACCATCATTACAGCTCACGACAAGCTGTCTCACTATCTATCCCTGATGACGAGACAAAACCCCATAGAAAGCCAGTTCATTGGAAGCCTGACAGATAACCTCAATGCCGAGGTAAGGGCATATGACACTTATCACTTTAGTGGTTATTGACTTTGTTAGTGGATTATGTGTAATAGAAAAAAAGAAAATTAAATTATAAGAAAATTGATCAGTATTGTCTTTGTGCATATATAACTAGTACCAATCAGAAGAGACTTTTACATTATGAAAACCTAATTAATTAATTAATTAATTAATTAATTTATTTATGAAATATATTGTGTTGTATTTACTTTGACATCTGGTGAACAGATTTTCAGTTTTGCTTCAGTGTTATTAATTTTGTAGGGTTATATGACTTAACTTGTAAACATTGTATTTGAAAACCTTTCCTGTTTTGTTAGGACTGTATTTTAGTGGTTATAAAAACAGACACACGTCAATACATGTAACATGTCTTGTTGTAAGGCTAACTTGCTGGAATCTTTAAATTTTTTATTCCATTAATTGGTTGTTCATAAATTCCACACGCTAATCTAATTATTTTTTACTACAGATTTCTCTTGGCACTGTCACAAACGTGGATGAAGCAGTGAAATGGCTGAGCTATACCTACCTGTATGTCAGGATGAGATTCAATCCCCTTGCCTATGGCATTACAATCAAGGCAGCGCAGGTTAACAGTAGTGTTGTAGAAATAAGAGCTTGTTATTTGAAAGTAGAAATAAGAGCTTGTTATCATGTTTCTAATGACTACCTTTGTGGTGGACACATGTTGGTGCAAGGCGTAGTAAAACAACTTACCTGTTTGTAGGAATCTGTTTCATTTATGTAGTATTCATCAGTCAATTAGGCACATCTGCAGAGTAAAAAACATGGTATAATTGTTAATTTACTACATGATAAGATACAGCCAAAAAGGCAGTTTAAAGAGCCAAACACAGAATCTTAATGTTCTCATTGGTTTATATATATAGGATGACCCTGGTTTGGAGAAACACAGAAGAGATTTGATAGTAAATGCAGCTAAGCAGTTAGACAAGAACAGGATGATCCGGTTTGAAGATGCTACTGGTTATTTGTTTGCAACTGACCTTGGGCGAACTTCTAGTCACTTCTACATCAAGTATGACACTGTAGAGGTAGGGATGTTTTCTCATTTAAATATGTATGCTTGAAAAACATTTGCATATACTAGATACTGTCTAGGGCCCAGCCCTTATATATGCCCTTGAACAGATCATTCAAGACGCACCTTCAAGAAGCATGGTCAGAAAGACTGCAGAGCTCAGCTTTGTAAATGCATCAAGGCCAGGGAACCATTGACAAACTTCCCACAGTAAGTGACTAGGTGGTCATCGCAAGGATAGTATCATCTTGAAATAATGTGTCATTTGAGACAACTGGAATCATGAGGTCATGAAAGAGGGGGTCAATCCAAAATGAAGTCCCATAGGTTTTGAATGATATTGATGAGAATGGTGAATTTTTGGTTTTGAGTATGACAGAAAAGATGTTTCTGAATTTGGCCAAATAACCAAGCAAAGGAATCAAATTTGTGTACATAATTAAAAAAAATATATAGTTGACAGGCTTTGTTTTGAAAATCTTCCAGTTATATATGTATATTTTGTATGCTGATGAAAACTACCAATTTTAAAGTTTTGATTAAAATTTCCTCGAATTTGAAGTCGTCTATGTGACTTAACATTAGTTACTAGTTTGATGTTTGATGCCTGTTCTTTAAGTAAACCTGACCATATTGGATTGAATCCATTTGTTAGTTTTTATTTATTATGACCTCCCTTTAATTAGCATACAATGTTGAAAAAGAAAATTAAAATTAAAGAAAATTAAAATTAAAGAAAATTTGCAGTGTACATGATCTACAGGTCATTATAACATATTTTAGTAAGAGAGCCTTTGTTACTTTGGTCACAAAAGAAATTGAATTTGTTTTGGGGGGGGCCATAGCAACTGATATTGACTGTTACAAGGTAATAGAAGAGCTGAGCTATGGTTTGTTGTATTAACTTGTAAAAGTAATTTATTGAGTTCAGAAATCAGAGGAGACATTGAGTGAAATTTACACAGATATTTGTTAAATTTCAATTTCAGGTTATAAATGAGATGTTGAAGGCTATCATGACAGAGGCTGATGTCCTAACCCTGGTGTCAAATGCACAGGAATTTGAGCAAATCAAGGTACAGGATGGATGTAGTGAATTGCCTAACCTATCACTTATTCCAACAAGAGAAGTTTTGATTCTCTGCCACATTTAACTTGATATTGAGACAATCTGCACAGAGACTTATTTAAGACTATTCTCAGCACTTCCTGGACAGCTAGAATTTTCACATTTAGCAATATAACTTATTGAAATACTTCTTATGTCTTTGCAGAAATGGTGTTGTCAGATATAAGGGTTGTGTTTCTGACATTGCATAGCAAAAATAAAAGGAAAAAAGTTCTATACAAAAATATCTCCTAGCAAAGTCAAACCCTTGTGGTGGTTGTTCTTGTTTGATTTTTGGGCACAGTTAATGGACATGCTGTTTTTGTGATTTTTAGGTTCGTGATGAAGAATTAGACGAGTTGGATTTTCACCACTTGCAGTCCTGTCCTCTGCCTGCAGCGGGAGGCACAGAGAATACTTACGGCAAAGTGAACATTCTTCTACAGACCTACATCTCCAGAGGGAACGTGGACAGTTTCTCCCTGGTGTCAGATATGAGCTATGTAGCACAGGTCAGCCAGTGAGGGTCATTCAATGTGACCAGTATTTTGTTGATTTTGACAGAAGAGATTTACATACCTTTTGCACTATTCTGACTCCCCCCTCTGCTTTTTTTTGTATTTAAAGGTAAAAAATAACATAGAAAAAATCTGTTAGATTGGAATGTACCTGTATGGTGTAAAATGGCTTGGTCACGGAATTCATTTATTGATATCTGTCACTAAGTTTATCCTAGCTGAAAGTGAATAGTGTGCAATTTCAGAATGCGGCAAGGATAATGAGGGCTCTCTTTGAAGTGGTCCTGCGGAAAGGCTGGCCTATTATGGCAGGTCGTATACTTGCTATGAGCAAGACCATAGACAAACGAATGTGGGGCTGGGAGAACCCCCTACGCCAATTTTCCATCTTGACCCCGGAAATTTTGCATAAACTGGAAGCCAAGAAGATACCCATTGATAAATTAAGGGAAATGGACTCTAAAGAGATTGGCATGTAGTATTATATATCATTAGAAATCGTGAATCATTGTTTAAAAGGCAAAAATGATATGTAGTTTAATTTTTTTAAATAGAAACTTTAAAAAAGAATGTAAAATTACTTTGCACACAATATATGAATTTTTAAGTCTGTTGAGTCCAAAATAGGTTCTCTGTTTTTTATTCATTTAATTGTAGAATTTGTAAATGTGTGTAAGTGATGATTTAGAGAGGTTGCATTAACTTGATGTTATCTTCACCGTCTTCACTGAGCAACTGGAGGTGACCATAAAATTTGACAGATTCACATTTGATTAAGAACTTAGAGGATGACTCATTCAGTTAATAAAGCAAGTCAGCACAAAAAATGTTTGATGATAATTCTTTTGGCACATTTTGAATATCTTTTTCCAGGTATTTTAATCCACCACCAAAGAATGGGTCCCGTGGTGAAGAAATGTGTCTCTCAGTTTCCCACATTGGGATTGGACGCCAGTATTCAACCCATCACCCGCACAGTTCTCCGTGTGCGTCTGACCATCACTGCAGAGTTCTCATGGAGTGACAAGGTCCATGGGAAGACTGGGGAGCCATTTTGGATTTGGGTTGAGGATCCAGAGACCAACCACATTTACCATTCTGAATACTTTATGATGCACAAGAAAATGGTAGGTCTCCCTGTGTGTTACTGATACTGAAACCAATTTTAAACAGTTAGGAATGTCACCTTTTGTCTGTTTTTAGTAACCATAGTCATTCTGTGCTTCTTGTACAACAGCAAGTTAAGGCTCCTCAGACTATGTATATTTCGATTTTAGCATACAAGAAGCAAATTCTAGCTGTGGAACAAATAGAAATACTCTAGAATGACCTATAGACAAAACCATATAGTGAATTGGGACCATTCCATTCTTTGCTGATATATATAACAAACGTAACTTGTGCTGCACTGTCAGATATCAGCATTACTAATAGTTTTCCTGACATCATTAGGTAGTGACAGAAGAGCCGCAGCAGCTAGTGTTCACCATTCCAATCTTTGAGCCTCTGCCCACCCAGTACTATGTACGTGCAATATCAGACAGATGGATAGGGTCAGAGTTCACTAGTGCCATATCATTCCAGCATCTGATTCTTCCTGAGAGACATCCTCCACATACAGGTTATTTGCTACATTTGATTTGGTTTCAACTTTATCAGTAGATATCAATTAGTAGACTCTAAATTATGGAAAAATAATATTTTTGCTTTATACCATATTTGGAATCTGTATTCCAATCCAAAATTTGAATTTGACTACGTTAAAAAGTTATATGTCCAGCATAGACCAATTTGAATACAGTAGACATGAAAGCTATCAAAAATTTGAGCTATTTGTACAGTGAGCCAATTGTTTTTTGCCAACTGATTAAGAACAGATACAACTCATAGATGAACATTAGATTTGATAAATGCTTAAGGAGATATTTTGTAATATTAAAAAAAATTATCTGATGACACTTTATTTTAAATGAGATTTTTGTCTTATTCATTTTGAAAACTAACTTGCATTCCAGACCTGTTAGATCTGCAGCCTTTGCCAGTCTCTGCACTCAATGACCCCCAACTAGAACAGATGTATTCATTCAGTCATTTTAACCCAGTACAGACACAGATATTCCACACCCTGTATCACACAGACTACAATGTGCTGCTGGGGGCCCCAACAGGCTCTGGGAAGACTGTGGCAGCAGAACTAGCCATATTCAGGGTGTTCAGAATGTACCCAAATGCCAAGGTAGACAAATTTTGAAAACTGCAACAGTCAAAAAATATTTAGTTTAACTTATTGCTGAAAAAGTAATTATCTTAGGAAGTTTCCTAGTTGAATGTGTAATAGATTTTTTTTGAGATTCCCATTTACAGGTTTTTAAAATTGTCATTGGTTTCTAAGGAAGCCATACAATAAACACTTTTAAAGCAGACATTCTTCACAAAATCATGAATCATTAAATCAAGTTATTCAATTGTTTTTTAGTTATATGTGAGCTTAAAATGATGCTTTAACTCTTGTATTTCAGGCAGTCTACATTGCCCCATTAAAGGCACTGGTCAGAGAGAGAATGGAAGATTGGAAAGTCAGAGTAGAACAAAAACTGGGCAAAAAGTAGGGCTTTTATATATAACTTCACTGCATGACTTTAAGTTTGACAAATTCTCCTGACCCCATTCATATTTCATTCATCATCATCATCATCATTTAGAGCCTATAGTGTTCCACTGTTGGACAAAGGCCTCAGCATACTTTTTCCATTGTTTCCTATCCTGAGCCTCAGATTTCCAGTTTGGCCAAGGTTTCTTCTTCCACGATTTCCAGTAGTCATCTAATTCATCCCTCCATCGTTTCACTGGCCTTCCTCTTTTTCTTTGTCCATACCTTGGGGTCCATTCTGTAAGCCTGATTGTCCACCTATTGTCCTTCATTCTTTTGACATGTCCTGCCCACCTCCATTTCATTTCTTTAACTGTGAGCAGTACGTCCTTCACTTTGGTCTGTTCATGTAACCATACATTCGTTTTCCGCTCTCTTGGATTAATGTTCAACATAATTCTTTCCATCTTTCTCTGAGCTACTTGTATAAATATTGCATATTTCATTGCTCAAGCTTTATACCTTATCTATTCATAAGTCTATTGTAATTACCCATAAATTTCTACTACCATAATAAATCTGATTTTGTTTGTCAAAAAATGTTCTTAAAACTTCATGATTGTGTTATCTGAAAAGGACCATAAGCCTGGAATGAAATATAATTTTTTTCTGTGATTATCCAAATATTCAAGGCCAGTTAAGAAAAATAAATTTAACATTTTGGAAGTTTACATGATTTCACTGCTATAATATAATTTATAATATTATAGACAATAATAACTTTTATAACATGAATACAATATTAATAAGTTTAAATGTTTTTCAGGGTAGTGGAGCTAACTGGAGATGTGACTCCGGACATGCGAGCGGTCAGTAACGCTGACCTGATTGTGACTACACCAGAGAAATGGGATGGCATCAGCAGATCCTGGCAGACTCGCAGTTATGTGAAAGCTGTGGCTCTATTGGTCATTGATGAAATTCATCTGTTAGGTATGTTTTGATCTTTATGCATGTGTTTTTTGATAATTTGATAAAAAGGAAAAAGTTTCTTTATAATTGCTTGACTGTGTAAAATATAAACAGCTAGCCTGAAATTTAAGCCTCTTCTAGAGCTATCTGAACTCATTTTAAACTATGACTCACTGATTAAGAGCCTAATCAACATTTTTCAAAAGCTTACACCTTCATCAAAATATTCAATTTCAATCTCATTGGGTTAATAGGAGATTTGTTGATTTTTTAAATCAAAATCTGACATACCTTTTGTTCACAATTTGACTGCTAGATGTCCCTTGAACGCATTCCAAGATAAACATATATTTTACCATCACTTTAAACTTGTACTAGGATTTCAGTTTCAAGAATGCCACATTAAAACAAGCAAAAAGATCTGTAAAATGTGTAGAGTAATTGTTAATGCATAAGAATGTGTAATTTTACTTAGTATTAATTAAATGTTTGTTATGATGCATTTATCGTATCAAGTAAATGAATTATTATTATTTTTAATTAAAAATTTATAATTTTATTACTATATATTTATGATAGGTGAGGACCGTGGTCCAGTGTTGGAGGTCATTGTGTCTAGGACAAACTTCATTTCTTCTCATACAGAGAAACAAGTGCGGGTGGTAGGTCTCTCTACAGCACTGGCTAATGCCAGAGATCTAGCAGACTGGCTTGGAATTAAACAGGTAAGTTGTGTGTGTTTTGGATAGTTATACCTGACAAAGAAGGACTTGAAGGCTGTCTTTTTTAAGGATTGAATCATGACCTAATTCTTATGCTGAAATGAGGTGGGAGTCACGTTAGTGCAACATTTGCTGAAAATGTGCTTAAAATTTTCCCTAACTTTTCTCATCTTGCTATTAAAGACCTTTATATTAACCCCATAGGATCCAGTTAATGCTGACCCATAAAGTTCTGCTGTGCCCAATTAATTCTGTGAGCTAGCCTTGAAAAGCCGGGNGAACTCCCATGGGCCTGAAGCCTTATGCTTGTTACACATTTTACTTACATTGGTATTACCTGTTGAGCATAATTAAAATTTGATGTTGAATTTGCAGTGTAACATAATGTACTTTTGCATCAGAATTGACAGTAGCCTATTTTGTTATTTCCTGCTTTTTGTCTGTACATTTGACAGCTTTGCTGCCTTGTTTAAATCAAAATCTGACATACCTTTTGTTCACAATTTGACTGCTAGATGTCTCGTGAACGCATTCCAAGATAAACATATATTTTACCATCACTTTAAACTTGTACTAGGATTTCAGTTTCAAGAATGCCACATTAAAACAAGCAAAAAGATCTGTTAAATGTGTAGAGTAATTGTTAATGCATAAGAATGTGTAATTTTACTTAGTATTAATTAAATGTTTGTTATGATGCATTTATCGTATCAAGTAAATGAATTATTATTATTTTTAATTAAAAATTTATAATTTTATTACTATATATTTATGATAGGTGAGGACCGTGGTCCAGTGTTGGAGGTCATTGTGTCTAGGACAAACTTCATTTCTTCTCATACAGAGAAACAAGTGCGGGTGGTAGGTCTCTCTACAGCACTGGCTAATGCCAGAGATCTAGCAGACTGGCTTGGAATTAAACAGGTAAGTTGTGTGTGTTTTGGATAGTTAAACCTGACAAAGAAGGACTTGAAGGCTGTCTTTTTTAAGGATTGAATCATGACCTAATTCTTATGCTGAAATGAGGTGGGAGTCACGTTAGTGCAACATTTGCTGAAAATGTGCTTAAAATTTTCCCTAACTTTTCTCATCTTGCTATTAAAGACCTTTATATTAAGTAACGATGATTCAAAATTATTTAATATTTTTTCATTGTTATTAAATAGGTTTTCTTTTTTAGTATTTGAAATCCTGTTTTTACACCAGCTGTTTGAGATATTACATCTCAAGATATTCTATGGCCACAAAAGTATTGAAGCCAGGAACATTTTATGACTATTTTATTTGCTACTCTCTCTAATTGAAAAAAATTGCCAATGTCTTTTTTTATTTTGGCCAAATGTTATTAGCCATTGTGAAGTCTGCACTACACATAACTGATCATTTTTCAGACTCAAAAATGTACAGTACAGCATGACTCTATCATTTAGCAAATTTTAAGGGCTTTTTACAGTAATGGGGATTAAAAGATACTATCCAGAGGTTTATAGAAGGATCAAATACCATTGCTAGCATTTTTAGCCTAGCAACAATATGCTTCCATCTTTTTTAGGTTGGCTTGTTTAACTTCCGCCCTTCTGTGCGTCCAGTGCCCCTTGAGGTTCATATCTCTGGGTTTCCTGGAAAACACTACTGTCCAAGGATGGCAACCATGAATAAACCAACTTATCAAGGTGAGGAAACACACCTGTTGTCTTCTATTGCATTGTTAATGGCAGCAATGGTGTTCAGCAAACAATAATGGTAATGTCACTAATGCAGCTCTCTGAGCATCATATGAGGTGGTGTGACATGGTTTGAATTTGTTTACTGAACTGTCTTTTGCAAGCAGAGGACATAATTTTTGCAAAGTATTGTAAAATATATTTTTTAATATTAATGTAAGTATAAGCACTGGTCTCAAAGGGATTGCCTCAAATTAGTGAGGGTGGGCAGACTAATAAAAAAAAACTCATCCTAAGTAGACATTAAATTACAGTGTTGGATGAGCTTTTTTGTAATGAAGTGTTCATATAATGGCCTGTCTCTATATGTAATGGTAAGGTCCCCTAATGCAGCTTAGCTAATATATGACTTGATCTTGGCTTCAAAGAATATCCTTTTATTTTATTTTTTAAGATCTCTCTTATGCTGTCTACATAGCCTCAGTCTGTTAGTAATAAGAGTTATGTATAACATTCTGCATGTCTCAAAACTATTTTTGCTTGTAAAACTGAAATTGGACAAACAAACAAACAGAATCTGATATTTTCACATAGTCAAAGTCATAGCAGGTATTAGACTGAATGTTAGACAAGTTACAGCCTGTAGTATGTTTAAATACTTGTGCTTGTTAAGAATGCCAGTATACTTTCTCAGTAAAATACTTTGGGGAATAAACAGTGGGGTTTGCAGTTTTTAGCCTACATTAAAATCATATCACCCACATATATATATATATATATATATATATATATATATATATATATATATATATATATATATATATATATATATATATATATATATATATGCTGAATTGCTAAACAAAGGTTCCATTATGCAATCCCCTGATTAGCTGTTGATGTTTTTTTATGAATAACATTGTTTTAGTATTGTAAAATGGGGTGATTTGTACATATTTTATTCATTGCTTCCATAGAATATGCTCAATAAATGAACTTGATCAATCAGATTTGATTCTTAAAACTTTTTATGTGCATAGCCATGCCTTTGTTATGCTCCCAATCATAATTTATGTCTTTGTTCATACATTTAAACCAGGCTCAGCTAAGTGAAATCGTACAGAGATAAATAACGATCATGATGTTTATAATGAACATTTGCATGAAGGCTAATTAGTGGGGAATAGTGATAATGCTAACATACATTTATGTGATATATGAGTGCTCAGGCTCATAAGATATCATTAATGGGATTATTTATGCCTGAGGGTTTCCTCTTGTCCTTTGTTACATAAGAATGCTTATGGAAGGTGGAGCAGGGTCTATAGTAACAAGCTGTATTGAGGAACCTTACCTTTACATATAGAGACAGGCCATTACATGAACACTTCGTTACAAAAAAGTTAATCCAAATTGTAATCTAATTGCTATAGAGAACCATTATAATTTATGATATATAATTGATGTTTTAAGATAAATTGAAAGTTGTCATGAATTAGTAATTATCCAAATGATGATCTGCCTCTAAGGTACTTGTTATTTTGTCAAGAATTGTTTATAAGTCTCTGATTTTGAGCATTTTGTATTCACACTGAGAAACCCCTTCACTTACATTTTATGTTGTCACTTGTTTTTAGCTGTGAAAACCCACTCCCCTGGTAAACCAGCTCTCATATTTGTATCATCAAGGAGACAAACTCGCTTGACAGCTCTGGATTTGATTGCATATCTTGCAGCTGAGGATAACCCCAAGCAATGGTTGCATATGCCAGAAATGGAGGTGAGAGAGTGAGGGGGGGGGGGGGGGGGGCCAGATGGACAGAATGATAGGATATTTTTATCAATGGGTTTTTACATATTATGAACTTATTGACTCACATTGATTCATTGCCGTAGGCATTGTTTTAGATGTTATCTTAGTAGCAGCCATGTGATGTAAATGTCCATTTATAATGGCACATGAGAACCCCTTAGGGAACTCTCATCGATGAAATATTGTGTATATAAAATTATATATATATGTATACTTGTCATCTATGCTAAAAGCCCTCATTGTGCTGGCAACAGGGCATCAATGCAGAATAGACATTTTTCAGCCAGGATACATGAATCAAGATTAACATTTTAGCTACAGATAGCAAGGTGTTATTTTCCAATATGGGATTAAGAAGGAGTGTTGGAAGACCAAAATTTATCATAAATTTTTCTTCATTTCTGTTTACCCTGCTGTTGGTATATCTCCTAATAGTTACAACTTTTGTATTGGAGTCGGTGTTACAGGCACCTCAGTCTAGCAGTAGACTAGCACAAACAATGGAAGAACTGGAAGAATTGTTGAGAAATTCCACCAAAACAGAGAGAAAGTTTGACAGGCTGCCTGATGTCATAAGCAAAGAACTAGATATAAAAATGAATCTTGCAACTTTACAGCAAAGTGTTTCTGTGGGTCTCGCTAATGGAGAACTTGATCAGAAGAGAAGAGAAAAGCTCACAGAATGGAAAAATGTTATTATGAAGAAGACAGCAAATGTTCAAGGCAAGGACTTAACTCAACAAGCCACCTTTTCAAGTTTTCATCAAAGAGACAAAAGCCACAAGAACCCAAAAATGACAACGCAAGTGAACAAATGTCCAGAGATTGAGACCGATTTTCATGAGTTTGATATTGGTGAATTACAACCAGGTGTAGCACAGATATTTGATAAAGCTAAAAAAGATTTCAAAATAAGAAGTCCTTTAAAGTTAACAATTCATGCCTATTCGGCTTACTTAGATCACAGGAAGTTGGAAACAGTTGGAAAAATTCATATAAGAATATTTCTTTTACAGCCACGCAATATGAAAAAAAAGCTTTCATTCTTTTGTGAAATCAGCACAGAAAAAGGAACCTTTACTGCACCAGGAACATTTTATGAGATGAGTGAAAATCACGGAAGGTTATTTGGAGTTTTTATTTTAAACTGTGAATTTTCCAAGCAAGTTTTGGACTTACAACCTTGCAATGTGTCTGTTGTGTCCAAAGTTGATGGGAACAGGACCAAAACACATGTTACCATGCCTTTAAGATATGTTTTTCCTGTGCCGAGGCAGTTGGATTTTGCTGTGTGTCTCCCGCCAGTGTTTGGTAATATCCAGCCAAATGTTCTTGTGGAATTTTTTGAGTTATCCAAGATTTTAGGAGCACAGCATTTTTATGTGTACAACTTCACTTCTTCAGAGAGTGTTCATAAGGTTTTTGATTACTACAAGAGACAAGGAGAACTCACAGTTTTAAAATGGAGCTTACCAACTAAAGCAGGTTCGTTGACATGGTACAAAGGTCAAAGTTTAGCTATAAACGACTGCATGTATCGAGCAATGGGCAAGGTTAAAACATTGGCAGTGAACGATTTAGATGAATTTATCATACCTAGGGATGGATCAACGTGGTATGATTTATTGGAGGGCATCAGCACTCCAAAAAGCTGCGGATATTGTTTTGAAATGTCCTTTTTTAGTCCCAATAAGGAAACTGTCCTGCCAGATACCATGTTATCTCAGACAGTTCTTGAAAGAAGCAATATGACCTGTGGGTTCAGAAGAAAATGTTTGGTTCACCCAGAGAAAGTGTATGAAAAAGGAATCCACCATATAAGCAAGCAGATTGAAGAGGACTACATTCCTGTTGCTGTCAACAGTTCCTTAGCTCTTGTTCACCATTACCGAACTTGTAAAAAATTCAGAAAATTTCAGTGTAGAAATACTACCACAGATGAAACTGCATTAAAATACAAGATGGATCTTGAAAGGAATTTCCATAGTACCTTGTATGAAATAGGATTGAAAAACTCAAGTCCACTGCATTAAGCAGTATCAGGTGGTATTCACATACTGTTGTGTTAGAAATTAAAAAAAAAATCAATGTAATAACCACCACAGCTGAGACTGTACCATTGAAACATTAGAAAGATCTTAAGCACAATTTCCTTAATTAGTACTATGTATGAAAAATAGGATTGAGAAACTCAAATTCACCATATTAGATAGTTTGGTTTTTTTTTTTGGGGGGGGGGGGAGGTTCAACTACATTTCTGTCTTACATGGTTAAACTGGAAAAAATGAATTGCCGTATTACATTACAATTGTTCATTATGGTATCTTATCATTTGTGATGCTAGCTAGTAAATTGACCTATTGTGAATCATCAGTCCTCTTCTGACACTAATCCAATCATTGTGCAGTATTTTTACAGAACCATCCTGCTTGTTGTAAAATATACAGTCCTTTCCCACATTATACAGCCTATTTCCTATGGCAAACACGGGAGTGTTTTAGAGCAGGTGTATAGAAGAAAAGAAATTTGAAGCGAAAAAAAGGAAATGAATGAATGAATCTTTGGGGATTAATTTTAGAAAACAGAAATAAAAGAGGCCCAATCATAATTCAGTCAATAGAAAGGAAAAGAGGGCCTGTCAGAATAGACTTCACGTGCATTGTGAAGTTCTCATTGCTGATTGTACATGAATTATTAATGAACCCATTCAAATTCAGTATCTGTGTGTGGCTTTCATTTAAATGCACAATTATTCAAGTCTGCAGCCCAGCATTATGCAATTATTGTTTTTTGATGGATATATGATAACATGTTTTTTTCTAGTGGATGTTTCCTAAAGCAAACTATTGACTATTTACAATATTCCCCCATCTATTTATCCAAATGTTCATTTCCAAAAATAACCTACGTTTGAGCAAGCATACACAAGTTATTACAAGGTCCATTAAAATTTAAAAGAACTGCTGTTAATGAATGTAATTGGATATGTTTTTTAACCATCTTGTTGGATTAGTTGGGACTCCTACGTAGGAGAGTTGGAAAAGAGAACATAAATTATTTGGACAGTGTTTGGTTTTGCCTCAAAGCAATGCTCATAAATAAGACATGACAAATGACCAATTTTGTAATAGACCACTATCTTATAGAATAAAAGAGGAAACCCAGACAACCTTTCTGATTAATGTCTGCCGATCTCAGTACAGAGTGTGGAATTTTCTATTTTTTTATTGAATGTTTGAAAATCTGGTTGTGGTATCATTTATGACAGTGACAGATTCATTCAGCAGTGTTAATAATAATAATAATAATGGTAATAATAACTCACAACCTGAAGATTAAAGTTCAACAAGAATGTGCCTAAAAGATTATGGAAATTACTCATGAAATTTTATAAAAAACAAAAAATGCCACAATATTATATTATGTTGATTTAAATTTTTTGAAAAGGTATTTATTTTTGTGATAGAAAAAATGTTTTGTGAGCAACTATTAATCTTCAAGAAATATTATTAAAATCGCAGGGTGTTTGGAATTTTTAATTAACTACCATTCACCTTGACCCTGACTGAACCCCCTTGGTGATGAACTAAAAATGCTCCCCCCCCCCCTTAATATTGTGAGGAAAACCTTGTAACCCTAGGCCTATTTGATGTCACATGTTGGACAGTGCATGTTGATGGGTCATTTATGCTTTGTGATGGAATACCACATGCTTTATGGAGATTTATCTGATGTTGAAGATATAAAGATGCCTGATTTATTATTTAAGCAGAGTTTTGCATTGATCTTGATTGTAGCTTTTTTGTACATGCAGATAAATGAAATATGCATAGATCGCCACTGACAGACTCTTTCATATGATTAGATGATAGTGGTGTGGAACAGAAAAACATTTGGGGAATTATATGTTGTAGTTGAAATAATAACAATACAATTAAAGAAAATGATAAAGAAGTGCTTCACATTCCAAGAACCTATTGTTTCTTGAATATATGTAAGAATTGACAATCATATACCTGCTTTTTATCGGTATTGTCAATGTGGGTAGTGCTATCAATGGAAGTTTTTGTATTACTAGTAAAGAGTACAAAGAGTCAGTGAAATCTTCCCCTTAGGTTGTATATATTATACTTTTAGTGTTTCGAGAAAGTTGATTTCTTTTTTGTTATTTTGGCCTATATTTATAAATATTCAGATCTTGTGATTTACATTAATTTATGATTTTATTTTTAAAGTTAAAATTTATTCTCTGATAAAGACCAAATGAGATTCTAACTGAAAATTTTTTTATCCAGTTTGTTAATAAATGTCACTGACAGTCAGTTGATTATTCATGAACTTCAGTTTTTCTATCTTGTATTGTTAAGACAAAAGACCAGTATTTAAAAACTGATCTGGAAAGCATGTTTACATTGTGGAAAATGTGGTTTTGTGGAAGACAAGATAAAAATATTTTAAATCGTAATCAAAATCTGAGGGAGTATTCTGCACCAGTAAGTTACCATCTTTACTTCTTATGGGACAAAAAGCAAATGCAAATGTTAATCATATATCAGAAAAAACTGTATTTCTCAATTTATTTGCTTTCAAAGAAAATATGGAAAAAGTTCAAAAGCAATGTGCATATTCTGTAGTAGGTGCAGTGATATTCAAATGCAACAACTTTAAAGTACCTCTCTCTTTTTCTATCACATTTACAGATGTGCTATTCTCTCTCCTCACATAACTTTGTTACATGGTCATTACAAATGGGCACAACTGCCACAATTGGTGAACAGTTACTTTGTCAGCAGCAATAGGATAAAAGATGTTAAATATTGAATTGATATACATGATGCTAATTCGCACTCCTGTTTGCTAGCACTTCTGCTTTTTTCAAAGAGGGAAAAAATTCAATATTAATTATTGTGGCTATTTGAAAATGAAGGTTCAAGTGCCAACATGAATTGCTGAGATATGTGCTTAAAATGCAGTTTATCAAATTTACTCAACATGTTTTGTTTTCATATCTAGTACAAATATGACAGAATTCAATGTTAGGAAAGTTTTAAAATTTAGCAACTGAAACCTTTATCACTGATGAGAGTCTAACCATTTTAGGCTTAAATAGCTGAACTTGGATAGCTGACACCGTTAAGCAGTATAGTGTTAAAGCATGTAATAAATGTTTGACTCTAATAAATTTAAAGAAAACCCCAAAATAAATCTGATTGTTTTTACCTTTTCTGACAATGACAACAATAGACTGTATAAATATATAAACTAATTTAAGAATTACTGAAAAAAGACCAATTACAAGTGTCTTTTAGGGATTTTTTGCACTGAATGTTTTGTGAAACAGGCTCCTGAAGATTTTTGATAACCTGTCAATAGCCACAAAGTGTTTGAAAGTGTTCAAAATAGCTTTTTAGAGTAAATTTAAAATTAACCTTAGTCTGTCATAAATTCTCAGCTGTCTTTGCTTAGGCCAATCTTCAACTTAAAATTTGTTAAACAGGCCTAATCCTGGAATAGTACCTTGTATCTGTTGTCAGGGGAGTAGAAAAATTATGCCATTTTGGTAAAGTGTGTTATTTCCAGTTTATTACCTGTCATTACTATTATCTTCTAGATGGAGAACATCATTGTTGGCATCAGAGACAGTAACCTAAAGTTGACCCTTGCGTTTGGCATTGGTCTGCACCATGCTGGACTGCATGAAAGAGACCGCAAAGTGGTTGAAGAATTGTTTGTGAATCAGAAAATACAGGTTTGTCCACATGTAGAGAATTTAATGAGGCCATTAGTCTTTGTACTTAGTTTTTTTTCTTTATGGAAAAGTTGTAATGGATTGTTCTCATGTAAACATGGGCATTGAGGACATAAAGGTCAATTGTCCTCGTATTTTGATAATACAAATGACTGTGATCCTAAAAACTGGCTTGGTCTTTTCAGTAATACACTCACTCATGGGTTTTGATAATAAAAGTAAATCCAATTTATTTTAAAAATTTTTTGCCAATATTTCAATTGGTTTGTAAAGATTTTGTGGGAAATGATGATAATTTATTTAGACAATTTTGATCAACATATTTTAAATGAGTAAATTTTCATGCATGATAATCAGTATTTCTTAAAGATTCAGTTTGAAAAAATTGTACTTTTTTTGTCTCAGATACTGGTAGCTACTAGCACCTTAGCATGGGGTGTGAATTTCCCTGCCCATTTAGTGGTTGTGAAGGGCACAGAATATTTTGATGGAAAAACAAGGCGATATGTGGACTTCCCCATCACTGGTTTGTTTTAAGTTTACCTCACATTGTGATCTGTCAATTTCCTACAAATTTAAAATACACAACCTATTCTGATATTATAATTATTCTATATTTATTGTGTTTGGTAAATGGTTAATGTTTGGACAATGGATTTCAGAGGATGAAGCTCACTAAACGTTATCCTGTTATACAATAGAAAAAGACAACAGCATTGTTAGAGCTTCTGAATTACCTAAAATAGTGGCTTTGAAAGGTACTTTAGTAAGTACCTCATCCCACCCCTATTTAAATATTAGTTGTCACATTACATTTTATGATGTTCATTCTCATGCCTCATTTTTCCAGATGTGCTTCAGATGATGGGTCGAGCAGGCCGACCACAGTTTGATGACAGTGGGAAGGCTGTCATATTGGTCCATGACATCAAGAAACACTTCTACAAGAAGTTTCTGTATGAACCATTTCCTGTGGAATCAAGGTGTGCTAATTGGATGTCCAACCTGCTATACAGTTGAATGCGTACTAGAACTCACATTATTTTTACTTAGTAGTAGTAAACAGTAGTAATTGTTGTAGCCTTTTTTTAAAAAGTTTTTTAAAATATTTTTTACAGTTTGCTGGAGGTTCTGGCAGACCATCTAAATGCAGAGATAGTGGCAGGGACTATTTCATCCAAGCAAGATTCCATGGACTACATTACCTGGACTTACTTCTTCAGAAGACTGGTGATGAACCCAAGGTGAGTAAGAATATACTCAGATACCCTCATGTTCTTTTATGATGAAATTTTGAAATGTTTACACTCTAGGATATTCTTAATACACCCAACCCGGGATAGAAATGCTTTTTTTGTGTGTTTTTTTGGTATCCAAAGGCCTGTGTTAACAACCTTTTGTTTTAGAAATGTAACATATGAATTAAAATAAAAATCCAAAAATCATGATCTTACATGACAGTGCAATTCCAAATATTCATGAAACATAGCTACAAATATAGTATTCAATTTTAAAAAAGTTATTCATAACCTTGTTTGAGCCCAAATGTCCAGTACTATTAAACAAGTACTTACACTCATGTTAAAGGTTTAAAATCTAGGCTTCATTTATTTGGGAATTATTTTTTTATGGCATTGAGAATGCATCAGTAATACAAATTAAGTAACTAGTGTCTTATGAATAGAAAAACCACTTAAGTCAGGTTGAGGTGAGGTTTATTCCTGTGTTCCTTTTATGAAGGTCCTTGATTTTTGATCTGCTTATACTGGCATATTCATTTATCTTTTTATTGTAAAATATTAAGTAAATTATACATATTAATTAATTGGAGCTCTTTACTCTACATGACTGACTTCACCCCCCCCCCCTGAAAAAATGTAATTGAACTATGAAAAGCTATTTACAAGTAAAATAAGGGTATGATTAGTATTTAAGCAGAAATGTTGCTACTAAGTTATAATATTCTTTCATTGCCTCAGATTTTCTACCCTCTATATCACCACCAGCTGTAGTTTTAAAATATTAATTTTTTTGCCTGCAGTTTTGTGTTTCCATTCACTATATCACTGTCAAGGTACATAGAACTTCAGTCTTTGTATAAAAACAAGTACAATCTAAAGAAAGCAGAACATTGGATATAGTAGCTACTTAACATATCATTAATTATGAAATATTTGATTGAATTACAATTAAATATACACATTTATGATAAAGATTATTTTTATATTAAAAGATGACATAGTAAATGGGCATTTTTTTTTAATAGTCATGAAATAATTTATACTAATATTGACTGTGTTTGGCTGCTGTCCTCATCATCATTTAAATTTAGAGAACTTAAACTACGATGTGAGAGCCTCTCTTTCAGCTCATTCTGGAGCAGTTCTCCGAAGCCCACTGCATCTCTGGGCAACCTGTGGCGTTTCCTTTCTGCTGTCTTTGGTCTATATTGTGTGGCCATTCCATTTTCTGGTGGTATATAATCATGCGTAGAGGTATCTGAATCTGAAAGATACCCTGATGGAGGTGGAATTGTTATAGGTTCGTAAAAAGGGGCTGGAGCAGAGTTGTCTATGTGTGAATCGTATGGTGGTATTGTACCTGTAGCTTCAGCCTCCGGATAATTATAAACACTTGCATCTAGACAAATGGCAGAATTGTCGTCTGAGAAGATGGCACCATTACCCTCTCCATACATCCTTTGCTGGGTGTCAAAGCCATGTTGTTCTGGCATTACATAGTTGTATGGATGATGTTGTTGTTGTTGTGGGTTCACTTCTTGTGGATCCCTTTGGTCTGTACTTTCCTGATGGACAAACTGTTGGTCGTAGTTGTCACAAGTACTGTATATGTCTTGATTCTGCTGATTGGTTGGATACTGCTCTGTGAAGGAAGGAGGGGTGTCCTCAAGGACTGGTGTTAACGGTGGATGTCCCAGGTTTGGGCTGTTATTTAGAATTTTGGCAAGTTGGATGACTGGAGGGGTAGGTGGCGCTCGCCTCTTTTTAGGGCTAGGTTGTTGTTTTGGCTGGCTAGAGATTTCATCCATCTGCCCATACTGGACCTCATCTGTATCTTCTACAATCACTCTGGGTGGCGGGGGAGGGGGTTTGCGTTTAGTTCTGATAGTTTTGGTACCACATTCGGGATCAGAGTAACCTTGTGTGGTTGATACACAGCTGGCAGATTCAGAAGGGTGAGGTGCTGTAGGAGGTGGAGGAGGTGGTGCCTTGCTCTTACCTTTCTTTGTTTTGGTGAATTTCTTTGGTTGCTTCTTCACTGTTTCTGTTCTAAATGTGTGCAAAGCGCCAAGGGTGTTGTTGTGAGGATCAAAGTTTGTTGCCATCGTTTTGTTGTTTTCTGATTCTTCGGAAGTGGGAAATCGGATTGGAATGCCACCTTCCTTATCAAGCTCTTCCAGGTCAGAATGGTCTATGTCAGATAATTGGGGGTGCTTGGATGCTCTTCCTTTGGTACTGTCTCTGTCTGAATCAGGGGAAGTTGAGTCATATGGCTCATAGGCTCCAAATTCAGATGCTGGCACACCTGTGTTTAAAAGGAAAAACAATTGGCTTTATGAAAATGCATAATAGGTAATTGCAAATAAACAGGTTTTGGATTATTTCATATTTTAAAATATAGTTAATTTGGCGATTGTTGTTATTGTGTAATTTTTGATGCTTAAAACCATGTTTAATTATTTTTCCTATCTGCAAAGGGTACCTCTGCATCTTTCTTTTATAAATGTTGGCCATGTTTCATAAGTAGATTACAGTTACATTTTAGTAAATTAACTGGCAAAAATAACATTTCTAATTTCCAACTCAGAAAACTTAATGATGTTATATATCAATGTCTTAAACAAAATAAATAAAATAATAAAGTGCATATTTCTGCTATTTATTCCCTACATGGGACTTGTTTATCATTATATAAATTATTGTTACAGTGTATGTTATTTCATATGTAGTTTGTGTAATATTTTCAAAATATTATTTCTTAAACTACACTTATTTGTATATTGAGAACCAAATTTTTCCTTCGGGTTTATTTGTTTACCAAAACTTGGCTTTTGAAAGTCATGGCAAGTAAGAATGAAAGAACATACCTGGATAGTTGCTTGAGAGAGTTCCACACATGTAGTGAGTTCCACCGTACTCACTTTGGCAGTCATGAAAGCGTGGATCTTTAAGTGGATTAACTTCATCTTCATCAGACTGACAGTCAATGTCCCCTTCAGGACCCTTGAAGTATTTCCTCTCTAGTGTTGACATGTTACCTGTTGTTTTCTGTGATGCCCAAACAGACACATCTGTGTCAGACATTTTATTAGTTTTCTTTTGTCTTTTTAAAGTACTCTTGCTCAGGATAGACTGTTTATTAGTAGGGCTCCCCATACCTGCAGTTTTCATGGTACCATAACCAAGGGTGGTGCTGAGTGCTGACTTTGGGATTGTATTGACTGGAGCCTCTGTTTGTGTTGAGGCCACCTTGTCCATTGTAGTGGTTGCGTCTTTGGACTCCGGTCGAGTCTGGGTGCCAGTGTCCATACTTAGAACTTCGTCCATTTCACCTTCATGGTGACCGTTTGATGACCTAGCGGTATCATCTCTGAAGCACACAGAAGTCATGGTTGTAAAACCAGATGAATCACTCCGTGCTCTTGGTGAGGTTCTCTGGGGATAGGGTGTCATTGGGATGCCATCTTGGTGTTGTTTACTCTGAGTGCTATTTAGAGTTTCTCTGGGCTGGGTTTGAATGGTGCTGAATGCTGGGTTTTGCTTAGGATAATTCTGGCGTTTTCTAAAAAAGGATGATATAACATACCTGTTAATTTTATTTAAAAAATCTTGAATAATTTTCAAATTTAAGAAAGTATTAAATCTGTAACTTGTATTTAGTAACATTCAAGGTGAGAAATTTTAATTTGGCAACAGGCTTTTTTTATTTAGATATTATTAATGTTATTATTATTATTTACTAAATCCAAATTTGAGGATTAATTATTGGGATAAGTGTATTTTATGCTTAAACTGATTTAACTCACCTTTTATAATACAACAGAAGAATAAGTAAGGTCATGAATACCAACCAGAGAACTATAGCCAACACTATTAAGACTGAAAGAAAAAATTTGGTCTTTTATCTTTTGTTCCAATTACCTTATTAGAAAAACAAAAAAACCCTAAAATTTGCCAGTGTTAAGCTACTTATGGAAATATTTGGTATGGAATATAAACTTAAAGTAACCTTTTTGAATTTTGTTCTTAAGTTTAATCCCACTTTTCATACTTAAAATTATTTTACTTCGCATTAAAAACAAGGAGGTATACAACACAGTGAGCAAAAGAATGTTCCTTACCCCACATAGTAGTTTCATCTTGGGTTTTCTTTGCTTGTGCTTTCTGAAGTTTTTTCTGGCCAGCAGTTTCACCAGCTTCGATTGGTGGGGCATCAATAGAGTCTTCAAATGGCTGATACTTGTTGCTATTAAAATTTGTGGTATCCAATTCATCACTGGGGTTTGCCTTTGCATGATCATGGGGGCCGCTGTGTGGCTCTGGCCAGTGGAGATAGGACAGCTCCTCCTCTGTCAAATGCTCAAATCCAATATGCTCTTTGTTCTCCTTTTTAGGGGGTGGTGCATATTCTGGGAGAAGTTGCCATGGAAGCCAGGGTGTAGTGGCCTTTGGTGGTAGTTTTTCAGTTGAGGTTTCTCGTGGTTGTGTCCCAGCTGTAGACACTGTTGTTGTTGTTGTGGTAGTAGTGGTGGTGGTGCTGGTGGATAAAGTGGATTCTGATGTTGTAGGCGTGCCTTGTTCATTATTGTCCATTTTCGGCCGGTGCCATTGTATCACCACATTGTCAACTGGAAGGGGCAAGGTCACCATTGGTGGGGTGGTCTTTTTTCGATCTCGTTTTCTCGTTGGACGTAAAGATGGTAGAGTGACGTCCAGCCAGGGAGCGTGGTGCCAAGGAGTGGTCTCAGTTACAATGAAGGAGTGTTCTTTGTTCAGGTATTCCAGCCACAAAGAGCGCACTGCCTCAGTAGTGGTGGATGGTGACGGGAGGACTGGTATGGTGTGCAGCATGTCCTTACTTTCATCTTGATTTCTTGGCACTTGTTGCCTTTGTGGCTGGTTCAGCTGTGGTAGAAGTGATTTAGGATATGGATCTGGTAATGGTGGTGCTATGGGAAGTGCTGGTTTTGGTGTTGATATAGTTACTTCCATGGTTACACTGTATGGGGGGTCTGTAGTAGGAG